TAACTCAGTAGTAGATAATAGCGGTTCCAATATATCAACACAGAAGAGATCTTATTCCAATGTCAAGAAACAAGAATCGGATGAAAAAATTATAATAAGTAACGGACAAAAGTACGTCATTAAACGTATAAAAAACACTACGAAAGTTACGAAACAACTGACATCTGAACATAACATTTCAAAGCCAAACGTTTTAAAGCCTACTAATTCTAACGAAGTCGAAAACAGCACGCAACAAACTACTTTATTTCCCAACAATATTTCCATCTCAACACCTTCGTCATCTCCTAAATTATCCAATAATGAATCACATGTTAACAAAACTTCAATTATGCCAAAATTACAAAAAATGCCTCCGCATTTAATTCCAGTATCTGCCATGCATCCGAGATACATGTCGGAAATAATATCATTGATTAAAGAAGATAATGGAGATCTTTATATGGATGTAAAATTAGTAGATCGTATTGCGAAAGAAAGCTTTCTTGCTGTGTGTGATGTAATAACAAAATATAGACGAGAAATGTTTAATGAATTTTATCAAATGAATAGCTTGGAATTGAAAAAACGACTGGAGCATTTGCAATATATTACTGATGAAATGAAAAATGTTATGAATTTCATATCAGACAACGTTTTTCAAGAAAAATTAAGAGCTGTTAATACTATCAAATGCATATTAGAAGAATGTCTCAATAAATCTAACAAAAATATACAGGATGAGAAAATAAACGATGATATGATATTAAATGAATGGGAAACAAAGGTAAATCAAGAACATAGATGTCTATCGTGCAATAGATATAGGAAACCTGAATCATATATAGTTGGCTTTTCAAAATTAGCTATGAATGAGAATGATTATTGTTCTTGTTATAAAGAAGTTTGTCAAGATTGTCAATCTTACCAAGGTAGTGTTTCACGGTTTGTCGCGCATCAAAACTTCCATAAGAAGAAAAAACCTTTTGTTTGTCCAGACTGCGATTCCAAGTTTAAGTCTCCTATATCTTTAGAAGTTCACACATGGACTGTTTGCTTTCATACATTGAGAAAAATCACATTTGGTTGTAAAATTTGCGAAATAGATGGTTTTAGAGATTTAGAATCGATCACTAGACATTTTGTTGTCATGCATTGCAATACAAAGATCGGTTGCGAAGTTTGTAATCGGGTATTTGCCTCGTATAATGAGTATATACAACATCGTACAGAGACACATCCAATAAGGACACAGCAGAAGCCAGTACGATTAGTAATATATAAATTAAGTAATGTAATCTTACGTTGCGAGAATTTCATGCCATATTTGGAGAAGAACCCTGTAATTCGAAAATTAATATGGTTTAAATGTCCTTTTTGCCAGTTAATAACTACAGATAATAAACATGTGGCGATGCTATTGAACACTCATTTACGAAACAATCATGTAGGACCCTTATCAAAAATTCTTAGCGAGAAAGCATTTACTTTAATTTTTGGTTTTAAAATGACAAGAGCTGTCATTTTAAATGCTGAAAAATCTCTTTTGAGTAATACCATAGTACCTAAAATCGTGAATACTCAAACTATTAGTTCAGAAATATTCGAACGTGGTTCTCAAAATATGGAACATATATGGCCTACAGATAACAAGAAGGTTAACGAAAGTTCACAAGTAGTGAAGAACATTGATGATAAGGAAAAAGAACAATTATTGCCAAAAATAGTCAGCGTTGTATCGATGAATGATTTAAAGCCATCTAAATCTGAGAAAGCAATCACGAAAATTTTAACTGAAACGAAGGTGAAATCTAATTCTCCTTTTTTTCAACTTATAGTTAATAGTGACGGAAAAATGGTTCCACATGAAGAAACAGTAATGGAATTAAATGATAGCAAATCTAATAACAAGAAAAAGATAACAGAGATAATAAAGATTGGTAAAGATACCGAGTTGATAATGAATACTTCACACATCTCCGAATTTGAGAAAAAGCCTTTATTAATGGACATAGTTGGTATTCCAAATTCGTCAATTGCATCAAATGAAAAAGTTTTAAGTTCCATATCCGAAGCAACTACAGATAATTGTATAAAAATAGTTGATGTTAAAACAATATGTAAATCGAATATTGAGCCACTCGTTAAAACAGAAATGTGCGATACACAGACAAAAGATGAAAATGCAAGCAACATGGGATTCATGCCAAAACCTCCTCCGCTTGCCAGGATTCCACAGCATTTACTTAAATCTATGGAAATTAAGTCGGAAAATAAGCCGACTAATGACTCAAATTCAAGATCGGATTTCGTCCAAAAAACTGATAACTCAAAAATGCGTATCGCTTTAGGATCGCAAAAGAAAGTTGTTGATTACATATGCCACTTATGCAAAGAACGAATTAATACTTCTCAATTCGTAATGGAGGCGCACTTTCGTGAAAAGCATTCAGATAAATACAAAGTGACAATAATCACTCCACGATTATTACGGATGTCACATAACTTTATTAATGGCGACTATAAACAATTTATTAATAACAGGAAACGGAAATCGGATAACATTTTATCTGTAACTAAAAGAAAACGTCGATGGACGCAGAAAAAACATACAGAAATAAAGGATACGAACCCACCAGTAGGATTATGTGTCAAGCAAGAAACTGCAGAGGACGATGAAGGTAATTTTATATGCAAGAAATGTGGTCAACAATGCTCTGACATATCTAATTTGAGAGAGCATATTGCTGCCAATCATCGATTAAAGGGCCGTTACCTGATATGCTTAGAATGTGGCGAGAACTTTGTGGTTGCACCCAGCTTGCAGATGCATCTTAAAGCTTTTCACGGCATAGAAGATCCTCTCAATTATATGAATCAAAATCCTTCTTACGCTCCAAGCCTTGACAGTGACTTGCAAACGGAAGAGAAAACAACGATAGCTAATCAGTGCTATGTCTGTATGGCAGTTTTCGAAGATAAAGCTGCAGTGGATAAGCATCTGAGGGTGCATGGTATGGCTTTCTTGAATCGTAAGAGGATAGAGGCGAGAAATGCTTTGGAGAAAAAGGCCAACGTGGAAAAGAGTAAGCAAAATATTAAAGATTCAAAGGAGACTGTAAAACAAGACAAACCAGTGGAAACCATCTTAGAAAAAATTAGTGTAAGTAATTAAGTAATTAATGTAATTAAATTCTCATTTGTTGAAAGTGGCGTTATTGATTTCATAATTATCAAACTATGTGAATATTTAATTATCAATTGTGTGATTATTTTAGGCGGCCATATAGTTGCAAAAGATGAAATATAAAATAAAAGGAAGAAGATAAAGGAAGAAGATAAAGAAGTGAAAGGGAGCAATGTTGTAATATGATGGATTCATTAATCTTACTTACATGCTCATTTTTGTACATTTGCGCGCCGAACCCTTCATTATTATCACTAAATATTGCATCAGTGAACTATTAGAGTTCTTTTTTTATTACCTTGTAATATATTACTTTTTTTGTAATACTATTTAGATAAGCAAGTAGAAAATGATTTATTATTCGTTAAGACGTAACGCTGCGAGCGAGATAGTAATAGAATTAGATAATAGATAAGTCTGACAAAAAGCAACAAAAAGCTTGATATTCTAATTTATCATTTTTTTTGTTAACATTTTGCTATGTTATATGTATATATGTATATTTATATAAATATATATAGTATTATAAATATATCTATATATAAATATATAAATATATCTATATACATATACATTTATATATTTTATATATCCTTCGAATACAATTTATATTAATATTTGTTGTAAGTTCACTTATTCTGAATAAGTTAAAGTTAAGTCATAATTTTTATGTAAGTTTTAATGTAAGTATTAAATATATACAATTTTATGTAAGTATTAAACGTTTGACATATGTAAATAGACATGCAATGTCCCGAAACGGGAACAACGTTAAACTATTGAAATTTAAGACGACAACATGTGTCTCGAAAAATTTTAATTCCAAAAATTAGAGCATAACCAATATTGAAAAACAATTTTTCGGGACATTGCATGTCCACCAGTTAGTAAGGTCTATTTAGTCTGATTGATATTCGAGATGCAATTTCTCTCCTGATTCAAAGGATGATTTATATAAGATATAAGAAAATGTAAATAATTGTAACGGAGTATAATGCATTTATGGAGTAATACCTTTTTGTATTATATTTAATTAGTTAAATATTTTCTGACTTTGGTATATAAGAATGAAAAATTCTTATATCAGTGAACATTTATCGCATTAATCGTCTCTTATTGAAAGACTATGGGATGGATGCTCAATGTAATAAAACAAAAATGAATAGAATATATATAGTTCTTTATATATTATATCATTCTTATTTGCACAATGCTGATTATTGCTTAATGCGTAAAGTATTTTTTTTTTATTGATTGACACATCAAGATATCCGAATTATGAAACTAATCGGATAGCAAGACTTTGGAAGGAAACCGTTTCCTCACCACTTGCCTTATCTACATATTTATACGTACATACTCGATGGCATGAAAATATCGGTACGTTTCAATACATGTTCACGTATGTTATGAATAAAATGTGGCATTCTTATTTTAAATCGCTTTTTCGAGCAGATATATTTTCATTGCACATGAGCGCAGGTACTAGAGAAAGGGTTTGGGGCACTGAACACTTTGATTGCAGTCCCGTAAGGGTATTTACAATTTGTCCTTTTTAAAATACTTTAGGAGTTTTAGAGTTGTGAAAGTATTCTATTTTGGAATATTCGATATGAATATGTCATTAATTACAAATAGAATATTTTAAAGTGATGTTGAAGTTTTTCCATTTTGATTTTTGTTACTCTTCTTACTTATTATAAAATAAGATAAACTAGTGCATTTTCGAAAACAACATACTTTTTTTACGATACAAGTTATATCAGAAGAGGGCCAAGATTATCAATTTATTCCATTATAAAAAAAAATAAAAGGATATTATAGATGTTTGGTCCCTTTTATAATCCTCCAAGACAAACGTATACTCTTACGGGTCTTAAAATTTGCTATTCTTTTCTTTTTTTTCTTTTTTTTTGGCACAGTTACTAGCGAACACACATGTTTAAGATTACATTGCGATTGGTTCATGATCATCGCATTTACTTTACACATACGCCACTTTGAAGAGTCTCCGCACAATCTTGACGCACTATTCCGCTTATTGATTTGAGCACAAATAAAGTCAATTCTCACGACAAGTTGAGCCGGATGTCCATATTGTCTTTTCCCTTTGATAATCTATATTGCATTAACAATGTCGATTTTATAATGTTCCATTGCACAGTTTCCGACTGAATCATGTAACGCTTAATAAATAATTGTTAAACAACATTAACATTATTTAACGTTGGATTTTGAATTGACTATCGAAAGATCTACTCGATTTTTGACATATTGATTTAAAGCTAGCTAATGTACGCTATATTTTATTATTATATATAATATATTGCACAGACTCTGTTACGAAAATCCTAATATATATTGCGCCTCGATAACTTTAATTATCTCTTATCATGCTGCATGATAATTTTCCTTCGTCTATCACATGAAACATCTAAATAGAAATTTTCAATTCGTGTTAGATTGTCTAAGCGGCTACGATAATTAGGAATTTTGATAGAATCGCTGTCCCACTTTCGGAAGGACTTTGAAATATTAGATGTTGCAAATAGACCACGAGAAAATCAACGTAAGTTTTTTCCTCATATATCTTTTCTCTTAAACTTTAATACACTTTATATCACTTAGACGAAATTGTTACGTGCAATATTTTACGTTACAGGAGTCGATCGCTTCTCTTCGCAGGAAGTACTGACATTACTATCGACATCAGTATTCGATTCCTCCTCTGGGTTATCCATATCGATTATCGAGATCACTGGACTCGTTGGACGAGGCTTTGATTCTTGACGGAAATTCGGTACGATATCGTGTCGAGTCTCTGGGGTGGAATCGTTCTTTAAAGATGCAGAATCACCGATTATTTTCATGGACGAAGAGGACGACGAACTCGACTGCATCGTCTTTAGTTCGTGTTCAGCAGGACTGACTGCCTCTTCGCTATCGTTTTCTCTGAATAGCTTTCTTAGATCGCTGCCCAGTCTTGTATCGATTGGACTCATCTTTGAATCTACGGGGATAGTTAAGACTAAAGAATCCGGTGGTTTCTTGACTCTGACAGTATTGGCCTCGCTGAAAGAAACCTTGATCTCGCTCGCGGTCCATACGTCGGAGTTGGGACTGCACGAACCACGAGTTGTTGTTTGGGTAACCTTCGGTTTCGTCGCATCATCCATCGAATGCCAACGATGCGGTCTCGTAACCGATGTACCTTGTGCAATGGCGCTTAAACTGTTCGCTGGAATTATTCGATGAGGAAACCGAGGTGAGCCGCGTATCTTTTCTCGAGAAGATGACTGGCTCGTGCTCGTCTCTGAAACATATTTAACATCGCAATGTTTGAATTTAGAAATTTTCTCTTCAGAATGTCTTTATGAATTTATTACAAGATATATTATAAAGGCAAATAAATGAAATGAGCAAATGGCAATGAGCTAATGAGAATTGGCGCTATAATAATTGAGCTATTATTTCATGAATCAAATATTATAAATATGTGTTAATAAAAATAAATGTATAAATAAAAATATAAAAGTTTTGGCTAATTTTTTAGTCATCTTCAGTATAACGTTACAAAAAGTCGATATAAGTTAAATGAGTAGTCATGAGAACCACCATTCTTCCATGCAATCACATATCAGTTAGACAGCTGGATGGTGCCAGTCGATTGATTGATTTTTAAAGACAACGAGGTCAGAATTTAAAACGAATGAGATTAAACATAGAAAAATAACTAACTCACTTCACTGGATTAAATTACATTATATTAGCATACATGTCAAGTACGTTGATGTATGTATATACGTTATACTGAAGATTGCTAAAAGATTAGCCGAAATGTCTATATTTTTATATACAAATTTGTAATATTTGATTCATGAAATAATAGCGCAATTACTACAGCGCCAATTCCCATTGTCTCATTTCATTTATTTACATTTGCAATTTTGGGAATTTGTTTCTAATATTAATTGTTTAAGATATATTCTGCAATAAAATAAACATTAAAACCATATCTTTTTTTTCTCTTTTTGAGAAAGAAAACGATGTTTTTGTCGAATTTGAATCGAAATTGAATGTAAAATTTAATGAAAATAATATTAAAATAAATTTAATAAATATATGAATTTATGGAAGCTATAAAATTACAACGTACGTGATATTTCTATAAAAGTAAAAATATTTAAAATAAAATGCATATTTAGTTAAGATAATATATTGAAGAGTCAAGTCACTTACGTGGCGGTAGACTGAAATTTACTTTAGGCTCGCTACTTTCCTTGCGACGTAGTCCTACTAAGCTTAACCTACGGTCTTCCTCGCTAGTAATGCTAATTATTGGTCCTGAACCGCATCGTGTATGAGGTGAATGAGTGCCTTGGGCATCGACTTGGCAAGTAGAGGCAGCTTTCGCGCCGGGCACTAAACCAGCGATGTAGCCCATATGGACTCGAAGCGCTGATGCAACCCCTAATGAAGGTAATGTAAGCAGGATAAGCTGCATAGTTATATTAAATATGTGGATTATAGGAAATGCGAAACAAAAAGAACGAAACAGGAAATACAAACTGCATTTATCAAAATACGAACTTATATGCTATATATTATATAATACGCAATAACTTCCCTTTCTCTCTTTTCCATCAATTCACAAAACGATTATGGACCGCAACATGAATCGAATTCAAATAATTTACATTTATTTCTCGCAAGCATTTCACGACTGAACAAAAAGAGGAAATTATTCCTATACAATAGGCAGACAGTTCCAATTCCAATTTTAACTTTTATTTCTTTCCGCAGTTGTAACGACGTGCTTTTATAAAAATGTTCCTTTGTGAGAGAAAACTCGCTTCTGACGTTGCAATATACATATATAGTTAAATCGTGTCTATATCACACCGCTTTAAGGTGTAAAGTGGTTCTATTCTTTCATTCTTTAGCGCTTTCTCTTACCGGTGAACGATGCTGTGGAGGTCTTTCTGCTACTCGGCCTGCTGCCGAAGAGACTGAAGAGTCGTTGAAAAACGCCCAGCCGATTTGGACCCTCGGTCTCCCGGCGACGATGTAGCTTGTAAAGGTCGGCCAGGCTTTGTCTGGGATCGTCGGGCTCCAGATCCGGTTGACTGCTAAATGCTACGGTACCGCGACGTATGCCTAATTTCAACAAGGGTCAAACTCATACATGACGCGGAACCACCATTATGGGTCGAGCGATCATTATGATGGACATTATTAATTGAAACCTTGGTTTCTATCTAACTAATCGGAATTCCGCATAAGTCACGAAAGCGCGCGAGTTTAGACTACATTTATGCGGAAATGAGTCATGAATCCAATGAATATTCGCGCTCGCAACTGGAAATCCTCCATTATTTGAAAAGAGACATCCATCTACCTCTAATAAATGCATAATAATTTCGCGAGGTTACTTATGAATTAAGAATCTTTTTATATCTATTTTGATCAATTTGCGTTATTTATTTAGTGAAACAAAATGTGAGTATTCCAAATTTTTTCTCTATATTGAGTGTGATCTACTTGGCGCTACAAATGCTTTGAAGCTTTTGATTAATTAATCGGAAGAAAAAATTTTATTTTATTTCGAAGCATTTGTTCATTGTACCATCAAGATCGTAGTCATAGTGAGATCAGTATTTTTTTTCCATGCTGTCCTAATCGATTTACAACTGTAGATTCAGTATGAAAATAATCTTCATAATAGAAGCTGGTGGAAGGAGATGTCTTCTTCCATCATGAGTAGAAGAAGAAGGAGAGAAAATATGTATATATGTGTCTCTCGTAATAAAATTTTAAAGCGTATCTATTATTTTCTTTTTCTAAATATTTTCGAAACAATGTAATTAATTGAAATATTCTTTAATATTACTCTATATATATATAAAATATGTATCAATGCGCAATCTGTGATCCACCGGCTCATAGCAAAAAATAAAATCATATTTTCTATTATATCCAAACGAAATAATTCTATAAACGTATAATATTATTATTATAATATTATTTAAGCAATACTTGAGACATATTTTTAGAATATTAAATGTAATGCTTCAATAATATTTTATTAAAATTATATAATATTAAAT